TCAGCCACTCACTCACCCACTCAGCCACTCAGTCACTCAATCACTCACACACTCACCCACTCAGACACTCACTCACCCACTCACTCACTCACTCACCCACTCAGCTACTCACTCACTCACGCACTCACTCACCCACTCACTCACTCACCCACTCACTCACTCTGCCACTCACTCACTCAGCCACTCACTCACGCACTCAGTCAGTCACTCACTCACACACTCACTCACTCACCCACTCAGACACTAACTCAGGCACTCAGTCACTCACTCACACACTCACTCACCCACTCAGTCACTCACCCACCCACTCAGCCACTCACTCACTCACCCACTCACTCCCCCACTCACTCACACACTCACTCACTCACTCACCCACTCACCCACTCACTCAGACACTCGCTCACCCACTCACTCACTCACTCAGCCACTCACTCACTCACTCAGCCACTCACTCACGCACTCACTCACGCACTCACTCAGTCACTCACTCACACACTCACTCACTCACCCACTCAGACACTAACTCAGGCACTCAGTCACTCACTCACACACTCACTCACCCACTCAGTCACTCACCCACCCACTCAGCCACTCACTCACTCACCCACTCACTCACCCACTCACTCCCCCACTCACTCACCCACTCACTCACTCACTCACCCACTCACCCACTCACTCAGCCACTCACTCACCCACTCAACCACTCAGTCACTCACTCACACACTCACCCACTCAGACACTCACTCACCCACTCAGCTACTCACTCACTCACCCACTCACTCACCCACTCACTCACTCACTCACTCTGCCACTCACTCATTCAGCCACTCACTCACGCACTCAGTCAGTCACTCACTCACACACTCACTCACCCACTCAGACACTCACTCACCCACTCAGACACTCACTCAGGCACTCAGTCACTCACTCACACACTCACTCACCCACCCACTCAACCACTCACTCACTCACCCACCCACTCACCCACTCACTCATCCACTCAGCTACTCACTCACTCACCCACCCACTCAGCCACTCACTCACCCACTCAGCCACTCACTCACTCACCCACCCACTCACCCACTCACCCACCCACTCAACCACTCACTCACTCACTCACCCACCCACTCACCCACTCACTCATCCACTCAGCCACTCACTCACTCAGCCACTCACTCACCACTCACTCACCCACCCACTCACTCACCCACCCACTCACTCACCCACTCACTCACCGACCCACTCACCCACTCACCATCTCACCATCCCACACACCCACTCACTCACCCACTTACCCACTCACCCACTCACCCACCCACTCACTCATCCACCCACTCACTCACCACTCACCCACTCACCCGCTCACCCACCCACTCACCCACTCACTCAGTCACTCAGTCACTCACTCACTCACACACTCATATACTCAGACACTCACTCACCCACTCACTCACCCACTCAGCTGCTCACTCACTCACCCACTCACTCACTCAACCACTCACTCACTCACCCACTCACTCACTCAGCCACTCACTCACTCACTCAGCCACTCACTAACGCACTCACTCAGTCACTCACTCACACACTCACTCACTCACTCACCCACTCAGACACTAACTCAGGCACTCAGTCACTCACTCACACACTCACCCACTCACTCACTCACTCAACCACTCACTCACCCACTCACTCACCCACTCACTCCCCCACTCACTCACCCACTCACTCACTCACTCACCCACTCACCCACTCACTCAGCCACTCACTCACCCACTCAGCCACTCAGTCACTCACTCACTCACTCACACACTCACCCACTCAGACACTCACTCACCCACTCACTCACTCACTCACCCACTCAGCTACTCACTCACTCACCCACTCACTCACTCACCCACTCACTCACTCACCCACTCACTCACTCTGCCACTCACTCACTCAGCCACTCACTCACGCACTCAGTCAGTCACTCACTCACCCACTCAGACACTCACTCAGGCACTCAGTCACTCACTCACACACTCACTCACTCACTCACCCACTCAGTCACTCACTCACCCACTCAGCCACTCACTCACCCACCCACTCACCCACTCACCCACCCACTCAGCCACTCACTCACTCACCCACCCACTCACCCACTCACTCACCCACTCACTCACCCACTCAGCCACTCACTCACCCACTCAGCCACTCAGGCGCTCACGTAATGTTGTTGTTGTTGACGATGTTGTTGTCGTTGTTGTTGACGATGATGATGTTGTTGTTGACGATGTTGATGATGTTGTTGACAATGTTGTTGTTGTTGCTGCCGCTGCAGACGCGCGACTGGAACGAGGAGCTGCAGAGCTGCCGTGAGCTCCCCCACAAGACGCTGTCACAGAGACTCGTTAGAGAGAGAGAGCCACATTCAAGGTGGTGGTCATGGTGGTGGTGATGGTGGTGATGGTGGTGGTGGTCATGGGGGTGGTGGTGGTGATGATGGTGGTGGTGGTGGTGATGGTGATGGTGGTGGTGATGGTGGTGGTGGTGATGGTGGTGGTGGTGATGGTGGTGATGGTGGTGATGGTGGTGGTGATGGTGGGGGTGGTGGTGGTGGTGGTGGTGATGGTGGTGGTGGTGATGGTGGTGATGGTGGTGGTGGAGGTGGTGGGGGAGGTGATGGTGGTGGTGGTGGTGGTGGTGATGGTGGTGGTGATGGTGATGGTGGTGGTGGTGATGGTGGTGATGGTGGTGATGATGGTGGTGATGGTGATGGTGGTGGTGGTGGTGATGGTGGTGGTGATGTTGGTGATGGCGGTGGTGGGGGCGGTGTTGGTGGCGCTGGTGGTTGTGATGGTGGTGGTGGTGGTGATGGGGTTGGTGGTGGTGATGGTGGTGGTGGTGGTGGCGATGGTGGCGGTGGTGGTTATAATGGTGGTGGTGGTGGTGGTGGTGATGGTGGTGGTGATGGTGGTGGTGGCGATGGTGGCGGTGGTGGTTATAATGGTGGTGGTGGTGGTGATGGTGGTGGTGGCGGTGATGGCCATCAACCTGGGGGAGGAGCCCCGCTCACACATGTTCATCTAGAACAACAACTTCTTTAGGTGCCACCACCACCATCACCACCACCATCACCACCACCATCACCACCATCACCACCACCACCATCACCACCATCACTACCATCACCATCATCACCACCACCATTACCACCACCATCACTACCACCATCACCACCACCACCATCACCACCATCACCACCACCATCACCACCATCACCACCACCATCACCACCACCATCACCACCACCATCACCACCACCATCACCACCACCATCACCACCACCATCACCACCATCACCACCACCACCATCACCACCATCACTACCATCACCACCATCACCACCACCATCACCACCACCATCACCACCACCATCACCACCATCACCACCACCACCATCACCACCATCACTACCATCGCCATCATCACCACCACCATTACCACCACCATCACTACCACCATCATCATCACCACCATCACCACCATCACCACTACCACCATCACCATCACCACAACCATCATCCCCACCATCACCACCACCATCACCACCATCACCACCACCATCACCACCCCCCCCATCACCACTACTCACCACTACCACCACTACTCACCACTACCACCACTACTCACCACCACTACTCACCACCACTCACCGCTCACCACCACCACCACCACTCACCACTACCACTTACCACCACTCACCACCACTCACCACTACCACTCACCACCGCTCACCCCTCACTACTCACTACTCACTACTCTCCACTCACCAGCACCGGTAACCACCACTCACCACTGCTCACCAGCGCTCACCACCGCTCACCACCATTCAGTCACCACTCACTACCACTCACCACCACCGCTCACCACCACCGCTCACCACTCACCACCCTTCCCTATCTCTTAACATTGTCCCATAGACTTTCTATGGGAACCAATTCCCTATCTCTTAACATTGTACCATAGACTTTCTATGGGAACCGGTTCCCTATCTCTTAACATTGTACCATAGACTTTCTATGGGAACCGATTCCCTATCACCACTCACTCACCACTCTCACCATACACTCACTCACCACACACTCACTCACCACTCACTCACCACTCATCACTCACCACTCACTCACCACTCACTCGCTCACTCACCACTCACTCACCACTCACTCACCACTCACTCGCTCACTCACCACTCACTCACCACTCACTCACCACTCACCCACCCACTCACCCACCCACTCACTCACCCACTCACTCACTCACCATCTCACCATCCCACACACCCACTCACTCACCCACTTACCCACCCACTCACCCACTCACCCACCCACTCACTCACCACTCACCCACTCACCTGCTCACCCACCCACTCACGCACTCACTCAGTCACTCAGTCACTCACTCACTCACTCACACACTCACCCACTCAGACACTCACTCACCCACTCACTCACCCACTCAGCTACTCACTCACTCACTCACCCACTCACTCACTCAGCCATTCACTCACTCAACCACTCACTCACGCACTCACTCAGTCAGCCACTCACTCACACACTCACTCACCCACTCAGACACTCACTCAGGCACTCAGTCACTCACTCACTCACACACTCACTCACCCACTCAGTCACTCACCCACTCAGTCACTCACCCACCCACTCAGCCACTCACTCACCCACTCAGCCACTCACTCACCCACCCACTCACCCACCCACTCAGCCACTCACTCACCCACGCACTCACCCACTCAGCCACTCACTCACTCAGCCACTCACTCACCCACTCACTCACCCACTCATCCCCCACTCACTCACCCACTCACTTACTCACCCACTCACCCACTCACTCAGCCACTCACTCACCCACTCAGCCACTCAGGCGCTCACATAATGTTGTTGTTGTTGATGTTGTTGTTGACGATGTTGTTGTTGTCGTTGTTGTTGACGATGATGATGTTGTTGTTGACGATGTTGATGATGTCGTTGACAATGTTGTTGTTGCTGCCGCTGCAGACGCGCGACTGGAACGAGCAGCTGCAGAGCTGCCATGAGCTCCCCCCACAAGACGCTGTCACAGAGACTCGTTAGAGAGAGAGAGAGCCACATTCAAGGTGGTGGTGGTGATGGTGGTGATGGTGGTGGTGGTGATGGTGGTGATGGGGGTGGTGATGGTGGTGATGGTGGTGGGTGGTGGTGATGGTGGTGATGGTGGTGGTGATGGTGGTGGTGGTGATGGCGATGGCGGTGGTGATGGTGATGGTGGTGATGGTGGTGGTAATGGTGGTGGTGGTGATGGTGATGATGGTGGTGGTGGTGATGGTGGCGGTGGTGGTGGTGATGGTGGTGGGGGAGGTGATGGTGGTGGTGATGGTGGTGGTGGTGGTGATGGTGATGATGGTGATGGTGGTGATGGTGGTGGTGGTGATGGTGGTGGTGGTGTTGATGGTGATGGTGGTGATGGTGGTGGTGATGATGGTGGTGGTGATGTTGGGGGTGATGGGGGTGGTGATGATAGTGGTGATGATGGTGATGGTGGTGGTGGTGGTGCTGATGGTGGTGGTGGTGATGGTGGTGGTGGTGGTTGTGGTGGTGGTGATGGTGGTGGTGATGGGGGGTGGTGGTGATGGTGGTGGTAGTGGGGTGGTGGGGGTGGTGGTGGGGGTGGTGGTGGTGGGGGGCGTTGGTGGGGGTGGTGGCGGTGGTGGGGGCGTTGGTGGGGGCGGTGGTGGCGGTGGTGATGGTAATGATGGTGATGGTGCTGGTGGTGATGGTGCTGCTGCTAATCATGATGATGCTGTTGGCTCCAGGTCCCACCACCGATGGGCGCTGCCGGTGCGTCGTCTCTGGTTGACGCTGCTCAGCAAGGAGCAGCTTCACTCCACGATCCTGCGCTACTCACTCACTCACCCACTCACTCACCCACTCACTCACCCACTCACTCACTCACCCACTCACTCAGCCACTCACTCACCCACTCACTCACTCACCCACTCACTCACTCACAAGCTTCACTCCACGTTCCTGCGCTACTCACTCGCAGGCGGCCACAGCACGAGGTGAGCTCACTCACTCACCCACTCACCCGCATACTCACCCACTCACTCGCTCGCTCGCTCACCCACTCACTCGCTCAGCCACTCGCTCGCTCACTCACTTGCTCACTCACCCACTCACTCACTCACCCACTCACTCAGCCAATCACTCGCTCGCTCTCCCACTCACTCGCTCGCTCACCCACTCACTCGCTCAGCCACTTGCTCGCTCACTCACTTGCTCACTCACCCACTCACTCACCCACTCACTCAGCCAATCGCTCGCTCGCTCGCTCACCCACTCACTCGCTCAGCCACTTGCTCGCTCACTCACCCGCTCACTCACCCACTCACTCACCCACTCACTCACTCACCCACTCACTCAGCCACTCACTCACTCAGCCCTCGCTCACTCGCTCGCTCGCTCAGCCACTCGCTCACTCGCTCGCTCAACCACTTGCTCACTCACTCACCCACTCACTCGCTCAGCCAATCGCTCGCTCGCTCACTCGCTCACTCACTCACTCACCCAGCCACTCACTCACTCTCTCGCTAGCTCGCTCACTCACTCACTCGCTCACTCACTCACCCAGCCACTCACTCACTCTCTCGCTAGCTCGCTCACTCACTCACTCGCTCGCTCGCTCACTCACTCATTCACTCACTCACCCAGCCACTCACTCACTCTCTCTCTAGCTCGCTCACTCCCTCACTCACTCACCCACTCAGCCACTCACTCACTCAGCCACTCACCCACTCACTCACCCACTCAGCCACTCACTCACCCACCGACTCACCCACTCACCCACCCACTCAGCCACTCACTCACTCACCCACCCACTTACCCACTCACTCACCCACTCAATCACTCACTCACTCACTCAGCCACTCACTCACTCACCCACTCACACACTCACTCACTCACCCACTCACTCAGCCACTCACTCACCCACTCAGCCACTCAGGCGCTCACGTAATGTTATTGTTGTTGATGTCGTTGTTGACGATGTTGTTGTTGACGATGTTGTTGTTTTCGTTGTTGTTGACGATGTTGATGTTGTTGAAGATGATGATGTTGTTGTTGTTGACGATGATGATGTTGTTGTTGACGATGTTGATGATGTTGTTGACAATGTTGTTGTTGTTGCTGCCGCTGCAGACGCGCGACTGGAACGAGGAGCTGCAGAGCTGCCGTGAGCTCCCCCACAAGACGCTGTCACAGAGACTCGTTAGAGAGAGACAGCCACATTCAAGGTGGTGGTCATGGTGGTGGTGATGGTGGTGATGGTGGTGGTGGTCATGGGGGTGGTGATGGTGGTGATGATGGTGGTGGTGATGGTGGTGATGATGGTGGTGGTGGTGGTGGTGATGGTGATGGTGGTGGTAATGGTGGTGGTGGGTGGTGATGGTGGTGATGGTGGTGATGGTGGTGATGGTGTTGATGGGGGTGGTGATGGTGGTGATGATGGTGGTGGTGGTGGTGATGGTGGTGATGGTGGTGATGGTTGTGATGGTGATGGTGGTGATGGTTGTGATGGTGGGTGATGGTTGTGATGGTGGTGGTGATGGTGGTGATGGTTGTGATGGTGGTGATGGTTGTGATGGTGGTGGTGATGGTGGTGGTGGTGGTGGTGATGGTGGTCGTGGTGATGGTGGTGGTGATGGTGGTGGTGGTGATGGTGGTGGTGATGGTGGGGGTGGTGGTGGTGATCGTGGTGGTGATGGTGGTGGTGATGGTGTGTGATGGTTGGTGGTGATGTGTGTGGTGATCGTGGTGGTGATGGTGGTGGTGTGATGGTGTGATGGTGGTGGTGATGGTGGGATGGTGGTGGTGGTGGTGTGATGGTGGTGGTGGTGGTGATGCTGGTGGTGGGTGGCTGGTGGTGATGGTGGTGGTGGCGATGGTGGTGGTTGTGGTGATGGTGGTGGTGGGATGGTGGTGGTGATGGTGGTGGTGGCGGTGATGGCCATCAACCGGGGGGAGGAGCCGCTCACACATGTTCATCGGAACACAACTTCTTTAGGTGCCATACATCCCACCACCACCACAATCATCATCACCACCACCCCCCCATCACCACTACCCACCACTACTCACCATACCACCCACTACCACCACTACTCACCAATACCACCACTCACCACTACCACCACTCACCGCTCCACCACACTCCCGCTCACCACCATCAAATCACCACTACACTCACCACTACTCACCACCACTCACCACCACCACTCACCACTACCACTCACCACCGCTCACCACTCACTACTACAATACTCTCCACTCACCAGCACCGGTAATCACCACTCACCACTGCTCACCAGCGCTCAACCAGCGCTCTCACCACCGCTCACCACCATTCAGTCACCACTCACCACCGCTCACCACCAACCGCTCACCCACTCACACCCTTCCCTATCTCTTAACATTGTCCCATAGACTTTCTATGGGAACGGTTCCCTATCTCTTACACATTGTCCCATAGACTTTCTATGGGAACGGTCTCCCTATCACTTACTCACTCACCACTCTCACCACTCACTCACCACACACTCACTCACCACTCATCACTCACCACTCACTCACCATCACTAACTCACCACTCACTCACTCACTGACCACACTCACCAATCATCACTCACTCACACTCACTCACTCACTCACCACTCGCTCACTACACTCACTCACTCACTCACCCACTCACTCACACTCACTCACTCACCCACCCACTCACTCACTCACCCACCCCATCCACTCACTCACTCACCCACCCACTCACTCACTCACCCACCCACTCACCATCTCACCATCTCACATCCCAACACCCCAGCTCACTCACCCACTTACCACCCAATCCACCCACCCCACTTACTCACCACTCACCCCACTCACCCGCTCACCCACCCACCCACTCACGCACTCACTCAGTCACTCAGTCACTCAGTCACTCACTCACACACTCACTCACCCACTCAGACACTCACTCACCCACTCACTCACTCACTCACCCACTCAGCTACTCCCCTTCACCCACCCACTCACACCACTCACTCACTCAGCCACTCACTCACTCAGCCACTCACTCTCTCACCCTCTCAGACACTCACTCAGGCTCTCAGTCACTCACTCACTCACTCACCCACTCAGTCACTCACTCAGGCACTCAGTCACTCACTCACACTCACTCACTCATCACCACCCACTCACTACCCACCCACTCACTCACCCATCATTCACGACCCACTCCGCTCACCCACTCACCCAGTCACTCAGTCACTCAGTCACTCACTCACTCACACACTCACCCACTCAGACACTCACTCACCCACTCATTCACCCACTCAGCTACTCACTCACTCACCCACTCACTCACTCAGCCACTCACTCACTCACTCGGCCATCACTAACGCACTCACTCAGTCACTCACTCACACATCACTCACTCACCCACTCAGGACACTAACTCAGGCACTCAGTCACTCACTCACACAATCACCCAACTCACTCACTCAACCACTCACTCACCCACTCACTCACCCACTCACTCCCCCACTCACTCACCCACTCACTCACCCACTCACCCACTCACCCACTCACTCACTCACCCACTCACCCACTCACTCAGCCACTCACTCACCCACTCAGCCACTCAGTCACTCAATCACTCACACACTCACCCACTCAGAACACTCACTCACCCACTCACTCACTCACTCACCCACTCAGCTACTCACTCACTCACGCACTCACTCACTCACCCACTCACTCACTCACCCACTCACTCACTCTGCCACTCACTCACTCAGCCACTCACTCACGCACTCAGTCAGTCACTCACTCACACACTCAGTCAGTCACTCACTCACACACCTCACTCACATCACCCACTCAGACACTAACTCAGGCACTCAGTCACTCACTCACACACTCACTCACCCACTCAGTCACTCACCCACCCACTCAGCCACTCACTCACTCACCCACTCACTCACACACTCACTCACTCACTCACTCACCCACTCACCCACTCACTCAGACACTCGCTCACACACTCACTCACTCACAGCCACTCACTCACTCACTCAGCCACTCACTCACGCACTCACTCACGCACTCACTCAGGTCACTCACTCACACACTCACTCACTCACCCACTCAGACACTAACTCAGGCACATCAGTCACTCACTCACACACTCAACTCACCCACTCAGTCACTCACCCACCCACTCAGCCACTCACTCACTCACCCACTCACTCACCCACTCACTCCCCACTCACTCACTCACTCACCCACTCACCCACTCACTCAGCCACTCACTCACCCACTCAACCACTCAGTCACTCACTCACACTCACCCACTCAGACACTCACTCACCCACTCAGCTATCACTCACTCACCCACTCACTCACCACTCACTCACTCACTCACTCTGCCACTCACTCACTCAGCCACTCACTCACGCACTCAGTCAGTCACTCACTCACACACTCACTCACTCACCCACTCAGACACTCCTCACTCACCCACTCAGACACTCACTCAGGCACTCAGTCACTCACTCACACACTCACTCACTCACCCACCCACTCAACCACTCACTCACCCACCCACTCACCCACTCACTCATCCACTCAGCTACTCACTCACTCACCACCCACTCAGCCACTCACTCACCACTCAGCCACTCACTCACTCACCCACCCACTCACCCACTCACCACCCACTCAACCACTCACTAACTCACTCAACCACCCACTCACCATCACTCATCCACTCAGCCACTCATCCTAAGCCACTCACTCACCACTCACCTCACCCACCACTACACTCAACACCACTCAATCACCCACTCACTCACCGACCCACCACCCACTCCACATCTCACCATCCCACACACCCCTCATCACCCACTTCCCCACTCACCCATCACCCACCCACTACATCATAACACCCACTCACCACCACTCACCCACTCAACGCTCACCACCCACTCACCCACTCAACAGTCCTCAGTCACTCACTCATCACCCAATCATATACTCAGACACTCACCACCCACTAACTAACCCACTCAGTGCCGTCACTCACTCACCCACTCACTCACTTCTACCCACCACTCACTCACTCACCCACTCACTCACTCAGCACTCACTATCATCAGCCACTCACTAACGCACTCACTCGTCACTCACTCACACACTCCACTCACTCACCCACTACAGGACCACAACTCAGGCACTCAGTCACTCACTCACACACTCACCCACTCACTCACTCACTCAACCACTCACTCACCCACTCACTCACCCACTCACCCCCACTCACTCACCACTCACTCACTCAGCCACCCACTCACCACTCACTCAGCCACTCACTCACCCACTCAGCCACTCAGTCACTCACTCACTCACTCACTCACACACTCACCCACTCAGACACTCACTCACCCACTCACTCACTCACTCACCCACTCAGCTACTCACTCACTCACACTCACTCACCCACTCACACTCACTCACCACCCACTCACTCACTCTGCCACTCACTCACGCACCACTCACTCACGCACTCAGTCAGTCACTCACTCACCCACTCAGACACTCACTCAGGCACTCAGTCACTCACTCACACACTCACTCACTCACTCACCACTCAGTCACTCACTCACCCACTCAGCCACTCACTCACCACCCACTCACCCACTCACCCACCCACTCAGCCACTCACTCACTCACCCATCCACTCACCACCCACTCACCCACTCACTCATCCACTCAGCCACTCACTCACTCAGCCACTCACTCACCACTCACTCACCCACCCACTCACTCACCCACCCACTCACTCACCACTCACTCACCGACCCACTCACCCACTCACCATCTCACCATCCCACACACCACTCACTCACCCACTTACCCACTCACCCCACCACCCACTCACTCATCCACCCACTCAACTCACCACTCACCACTCACCCGCTCACCCACCCACCACCCACTCACTCAGTCACTCAGTCACTCACTCACTCACACACTCATATACTCAGACACTCACTCACCCACTCATCACCCACTCAGCTGCTCACTCACTCACCCACTCACTCACTCAACCACTCACTCACACCACTCACACTCAGCCACTCACTCACTCACTCAGCCACTCACTAACGCACTCATCAGTCACTCACTCACACATCACTCACTCACCCACTCAGACACTAACTCAGGCACTCAGCACTCACTCACACTCACCACTCACTCACCACTCAACCACTCACTCACCCACATCACCCACTCACTCCCCACTCACTCACCCACTCACTCACTCACCCACTCACCCACTCACTCAGCCACCCTCCACTCAGCCACTCAGTCACTCACTCACTCACTCACTCACACCACTCACCCACTCAGACACTCACTCACCCACATCACTCACTACCCACTCAGCACTCATCACTCACCCACTCACACTCACCCACTCACTCACTCACCCACTCACTCA